AGTTCCTACGGCAGCAGCCGGAGATCATAAAAATGCAAAGCGACCACAGCCACGCTGATGGAGGACCTCAGTCCTCTCCGGGTCTATAACGAATCGGGCCAGGAGGCGATGTGACGTGAGCAGACTGCAGCAGCTTACCGTCAGCCTCTTGATGGGGTCTACTTCAATCATGCCGCGCAGAAGGTTCTGACAGTCTGGAGGGATAAAGTGAGGCATGTGGAAAACTCCCAGCTTCACCTTCTCCAGCAGGTTTCTCAGGTTGTCGTCATCAAAAGGAAGAGCACCCTGAGAAAAGGCGCAATGGCAACGTCTAAACATTTACACATTTCAATCCCTTATTTTCTGTTATACATCCTGTTGTAGTGGTGGTTACTTTCTAATAACGTGGTTTTAATAAAGGTCAGCACAGCTGTAGATGCTCCTTTGGAGTCTAAAGTCTTCCCAATGCTGTAAACGCTCCACTTCAGATTGTTCTGTACTCCCAGATCTTCATAATGTCAGTGAGAGTGGATATCTACAGTTGGTCACATGAAGCACAGAAGCCCCGCCCACTGGCTACTTAAGCTTTCTGTTGATGAGGCAATCAGAGGAAAGTGGTGACAGCCTTAAAGGGGGAGGAGCTAAAGTAGCTTTCAGTTAGTGGATGAGCAGCGATGTCGCCTCTAGGCCTGGCACAACCTAAATAATTACTCAATAATTATTAATAAACTATCATTATTAATATGTGGATTGCTCTGTGGATCATGCAAACTACCAAGAATGGAGATATGGAGCTAAAAACGAGCGCAGCAGATCCTGCTTCTTTGTATTTATTTGTTTAAGCAGTTCTGTATTAAAATCACACCAGCAACACGAGATCACAGCGCTGACATCTGCCTGTTGTCATGTAGCCGGCCTGTCAGGTGTGCCCTGAGAGATAATCTGCCGTTTGACAAAGAAGGTGACCAGAGGCAGTTTCGCGAGAGGTATCAGTCATCAGAGTGAGTGATGCCAGCCGGCTCTGCCTCTGCTCTCCAGCTAGGACGCACGCTCAATAACACGATGACTGATACCGTTTCCTCCTCATAAAAAAAACAAGCAGGATGAAGCCAGATGGTCACTGACGCTGCGTGGTAATCAAAACAACACCAGCGGAGAGATTTATCTTCACATGATGACTGTGTTATGTGATCCATCTTCATCAAGAGGATAAAACACTCGTGCGTTCACACGGCACCAAAACAAACAGTCATTTACTCACTACTAGCACATTACAGAGCTGCTGGTATGAAAAGCCTTCGTATGTGACGTGTCCGCACGAAGCAAAGCTGACATATTCAAATCATTTTGTAGGGGAAAAAACAATATTGGGATAAACTGGATTTTCCCCACATAAATATTTTATTTTCCGACAACCTGGAATTTACAAAATCCTGCATTCCAGTTTTTCAGAGGCCCAGTTTGACCCATGGCCAAACTACATACAAGCTGCCATATTTACCATAATAAAGCCTCGTACACCTGGTCCGGGTCCAAATGTATCTATTAGCTTGACAAGAATAAGTTGGTTATTTTATGGACGGACAGAATTTCTAACTGCATTTTACAATTGAGCATCCTTTGATCAAACCAAACAAAGTGAGCTCTCTAACCTGCATTTTCTCATATGTTTCAACTAGTACTGTCAGCGTTAACCTCGTTAAAATGACGTTAACACCATAACCGCATTAACGCGACGAATCTACGTTAGACGGTTAGCGCGGATCGCTCGTTAACACTGTGCAGCCCCACGCACGGGGCGATCCATGCTAACTCGCTAACGGTTTGTTGCGTTAATGCGGTTATGGCGTTAACGTCATTTTAACGAGGTTAACGCTGACAGCACTAGTTTCAACAAAACAGTGATTAAAGAACTAAAGTCTCATTTAGATTCAGGGCATCAAGGCTCTACGTGCACATACATATGATATGCTGGTATAATAATATTTAGTAATAATGAATCATTTAAGCTAGCCATTCAAGCAAGAGGGAACAGTGAGACAAACCAAGGTCAGAGTTGGACTCTCACTCACAAATGTGCTATTAGCATCTCCTGCAGAGATAAACAGTCACTGCAAACACAACAGATCCCACAGAGTTCTCCTGAAAAGCTGCGGTCGTTACGCCACAGGAACATAATGTGCATGTAGATGTATGCAACCAGCAGCCACATTTGCACACACCAGCGCTGCTGATCAATCACCGTGTTTTGTCACTTATGAAACACAGATTTCTGTTGTGGAAACATTCTTCTGCAGTCGGCCATTTGTCGATTCACAATTTAGAACAAAGAGGCCTGTTACAAAGGAAAAGAGAACATCCTGTCTGTACCCATTTTATTTATAATGTGGTTTTAATATTTTATCAGTACACATTGTGTTTCCAGCAGCCCATCTTTAATTTAATCCTGGCTGGTGGAAACCACAGACTCCAGAGTGCTCCCATCAGGTGATTTACTTTGTCCAGAAGTAATTCACGATCTTTTTTACTTTATCCCAGCTGTATACAGTATAAATACTTTGCCAAGGAAAAACCTGAATTGACTCCGCCCCTTTGTTTTTTTCCCTTGTCACATTGTATCAAATCAGGAGTTGCCCGATTTAGAAAATGTAACTATTTTAATGTTAAGATTCTGTTGTGCTTCCTCGTGGATACAATGTTCCTCTTTTTACAGTTGTTCGCATCCCTCTTCATGAGTTTTTGATTTTGTTTAGCACCTTTTTGTATTTTTGTTCAGTTTGTCATTACATATTATATTTAAACTATTTGGTTTCTTTGTGGGCATTTTGCATCTCTTAGTAATACTTTATGGTCATTTATCACACAATTGTAGCTGTTTTTAATCTCAGTTTTTTGTCTTTTTGCTTCTTATTTTGCGATGTTTGCAGCTCTTCAATATTTTGGTTGTGTCTGGAAATGTTATGAGTTTCACTGCTGTTGCATGAAGATGCCAAACGCGTGTCAAAATGACTGTAAAAGCACAATGTCCAGGCCATTGTCTGCCATTTTCTGCAGTAGGAGAAGTCACTTACCACTAAAAGTGCAAACAGGATGACTCCACAGCTCCACGCATCGGCTTTCCTCCCATCATACTTCTCCCCCTGGTGCACACATGCAGACACACACAGAGATGAGCTTCATCCTAAAATGTTTCCCAAACATCACCCTGGCTGCTCTGGGCCTTAACACATTAACTGGCCAAAAATCGCA